GGGGGGGTAATTTTTGTGTGTTCTGTGAGGTAAAAATGTATCTCATCATGGTGTGTGTTCTTTGTGGCAATGTGGGGATAATTTTGTGTAAGTTCTTTGTGGCAATGTGGGGATAATTTTGTGTAAGTTCTTTGTGGCAATGTGGGGATAATTTGGTGTAAGTACTTTGTGGCAATGTGGGGATAATTTGGTGTAAGTTCTTTGTGGCAATTTGGGGATAATTTGGTGTAAGTTCTTTGTGGCAATTTGGGGATAATTTGGTGTAAGTTCTTTGTGGCAATTTGGGGATAATTTGGCGTGTGTGGCAATGTGATTGTGGTAATTTGGCGTGTCTTCTGTTTGACAATGTCGGGATAATTTGACGTGTGTTCTGTGTGGTCAGAAAATGTACCTGATCATGGAGCTGTGCACGGGCGGGGACTTGGCCAGACTGCTCCAACAACGCACGAGCCTGACCGAGGCGGACACCAAGACTGTCATGTCCAGTCTGGCCGAGGCCATCAAGTACTTGCATCAGCAGGGTGAGTACATTCTGTGGAAAGTTGTGGGTTACTTACATTAGCGGGGTGAGTACATTCTGTGGAAAGTTGTGGTTTACCTCATTAGCGGGGTGAGTGTGTTCTTTAGAAAGGTATTATTTACTTACATTTGCGGGGTGAGTACATTTTGTAGAAAGTTGTGGTTTACTTACATTGGCAGGGTGAGATCATTCTATAGAAAGTTGTGATTAACTTACATTAGCGGGGTGGGTACACTGTGTAGAAAGTACTAATATTAAAAGCCTGAGTACGTTCTGTGGAAAGTACTTACATTAGAAGCCTGAGTACATTCTGTGCAAAGTTGTGATTTACTTACATTAGCGGGGGTGAGTACATACTGTAGAAAGTTGTTGTTACATTAGAAGGGTGAGTACTTCTGTATAAAGTTGTTATTTATTTACATTGGCAGGGTGAATACATACTGTAGAAAGTTATTATTTACGTACGCCTTTATATCTGTAGAAAGGTGGTATTTACTTGTATCAGCAGCCTGAGTAGCTTCTGTAGAAAGTTGTGATTTGCTTACGTCAGGAGGGTGAGTGTATTCTGTAGAAAGTTGTGATTTACTTACGTTAGCGGGGTGAGAGCATTTTGTGGAAAAACGTTAACACAATATATAACGAATTACGATATTCCAAATTGCTCACTTTTACATTTTACTTTTGTCCTTCGTCGTGTCGTTAAATGTCAAGGGGAGGTTCACTTTTCGGTCACGGGCTAGGTTGGTGGCCTTTGTTGTAGATATGTCATTCTGTTGCAGGACCTTTTTGACGCCATTCAGCCAAGGATCAGTTGGTGGGTGGTTGGCGAGTGCTCTGGTGTGATTTGCTTCTTCTTTCCTATTCAACATCTATCGTCTTTATCTCCCCTTCTTCTTTTTTTTATGTTTGTTACTCTCTTGTAACGCCTCTAATCTTCTGGCGCTCATATTTTGTCCTAATGCAGTTGCGAGCGCCGAAAAACCTCCTCTAAAACTAAAACGGATCAGTGTTGTTCTTGGTGCACAGTATTATTGACATTATGGATGCTATTGCTGCCTCTTCTGCTCCTGCTTGTACTGCTGTTACTATTATTGTTTTTTACCTTGTGATTGTTATATTAGTTTGTATTGTAAATACTATTGTTGGCCACTTTGTCGTCGTCCTCCTCATCCATCTCCTCCACCTCCTCCTCCTCCTCCTCCTCCTC